TATTAACCTGTCTTTATCTCAACCCATGAGGGCTTTTTTCCATTCTCCTCCCCATCCCCTTGGGGGGAGGAGTGAGCGAGTAGCTGTGTGGTGCTTAGTTACCAGCTGGGGTTTAAACCATGACACCTTTTTGGTGCCCATTGTGGAGCTCGAAGGGTTGAGATAACAACAGATCTGACAAGAGTGTGTAAAAAGAAATTTGTTATAAGCATTTATTATATTAGTTTAATCGTTGCTGGTCCACTGGTCACAATGTTGTTTTAGTTGTTATCAGAGTTGTGTCATGTAACGCCTTACTTACCATATATACTGGTTATCAGTGTTTATGTGTGGTTTGTCACCTCTGGGTGTGGATTAAGGTTGTCGCTCTGCTGCTCAATGTACTACTGGCTTATGGTGTGAGAAAATCATTGATAGTCAGACCAGTTTTGTATTTATATTCAGTGGCAGAGGATCAACAGCAACCATTTAATCTCTGTATTTCAGGATCCATCTGTCAGAAACTATTAATAATTACACTTTTAATTTTTCTCCTCAGAGAGCCAATATGTAGGGGAGACACCTTCCTTCCTCTTCCCCTTCATCTTCTGGCCAATTACAATAGCTTTTGAGAATGTTGAATATCCTTGGGATGTTCAGATCAGCATGCTTCTATTGCTAGGTCTCCTGAATGTGGTTCAGGTCTTGTTTAGGGTTAAACAACTCTTTAAGAATACCACCCAGAGATCAACCTCCACGACAGGCACTGTGGTTACACCAAGCCCTGTGACAGGCACTGTGGCTACTCCAACCCCAGTGATAGGCACTGTAGGTACTCAAACCCAACGAGCATGTTGCTACTCAAACCCAACAAGCGGTGCAACTGAACCAGAGAAACAACTCCTACCATTATCAGTTACCCCTATAGACAAGAAGAAATGGGCACGAAAGTCGACTCGTTTAGTAAAGGATGACGAAACAGGACCATCACAAGAACAGGAGGTAGAGACAGAACCAGAGGTACCCATCCAATCCCTGAGTGAGCTGCGAGACATGCGAAAAGATTTTAGTCATCGATTAGGCGAGCAACTTGTCACCTGGCTACTCCAAAGCTGGGATAGCGGAGCCAATAGCCTGGAATTAGAGGGTGGGGAAGCCAAGCAGCTGGGATCCCTCTCCAGGGAAGAGTCATTGACAAGGCAATTGGAAAAGGGACACAAGCCCTCAGCCTCTGGAGGCAACTTCTGTCAGGCATGAGAGAAAGATATCTCTTCTTTGAAGACGTATGTCAGCCAGGCAAGTGGACTGCAATGGAGAGAGGTATCCAGTACCTGAGGGAATTAGCTGTGTGGGAGATGGTTTATTGTGACCAGGAAAATGTGCAGTTACCCACAGATCCAGATGAAGTCTGATGTACCCAACCCATGTGGCAGAGGGTTGTACAGAGCACACCACCAGCATATGCCAAATCATTGGCAGTACTGGCCTGGAAAGACAAAGAGGCACCAACTTTACAAAGTAGGGTGAAAACTGGAAAACCAAAGTTAGGAGCGTGAGTCCCTTGCATCGTCATTGAAAAGCAGTAGGCATTCCACTGAGTAGCTGGGATAAGCAATACACCTGCATCTTCACTGGAGGATGGGAATACTCTGTTGAGTCCCCATGGGAGCTGGTACAGAGTTCACCAGAGCTTCCTTGCAGGTGACCTTCTCCTAGCAGCTGAGGCAGGATCACGGCACCTGCCTGGCTGCTGATTAATTTGGGGGTCACAACCCAAGTAGGGAGCACACCTGAGCCTGGGAGCTCCTACGTGTTTGTAGGCTCATTGTTTTAGACACGGCCTGAGAGTGTCCCTCTGTGTGTTAATGATGACTGTTAATCTTACTGTCATTAGGTCTATGGACTTGTGTCTCTTTTTTTCTTGAATGCACTAGTGTGTGCAAGGTTATCAATATGTTGATTTGTGCTTTGCATAACTTGTGTTTAGAAAAGCTTTAATTAGTTTCTAGCAACAGTTTCTCAGGAGTGAAGTATTTTTCGTAGAATCATTTAGGTTGGAAAAGACTCTTAAGATCATCGAGTCCAACCATAAAATGGCAATTCAGTGTTATTTATTGACATGATAAGTGATACAAGTGTTGCCTGTCCAACAGCACAGTTACATAAAGCAACAATGGCTGGTGATCACCACTGATGAGCAATTTGCACTGATGAGTACTGATTTCTAGGAACCAGCTGCAGAAGAGAGTTGCAACATTCAGAAAATGTAAATCTACTTGAGAACTGCATATAATAGAATAGATTGAAGCAAAAAATTGCCTCATGTTCCCTGCTCTGCCTCCTCTGCTTTTCTTGGATGTCATCTACTGTAATATTTATTGAAATACTAATAGTGTTACCTAAAGCAGTTTTCAACGCTACTAAGTTGAAATGGTATTAGCACCTAGTAGTTAGCCAATGCAGCAAAGCCAATACCCAGTAAAGCATTTCTTATAGTATGGGGACTAGAAGATTGCATCTTGCATGTGCCAGGAAATTTTTGCAAAATCTTCCCATTGTTGGTACTAAAAGTTCCCATATTCCCTGTAGCAAGAGAAGTCAGTGCATCAGGGTCTCTAGTACAGGGACAGAAGGCGGCAGAGGCTTACGTCTTCAGGGCAAAAGCTGTCAGTTAAAATAGTCACACAGAATACTGTCAGTACTGCTATTCTCATCCTTCTAATAATGTGGAAGTGAACAACTAGTACTAGAGGTGAAAAAAAGGGTGTTTTAACTTAATGTAAAATAAGCCCTGTATATTTGTCTGTATTATGTATTCTCTTGGCAGAAATGCCCAATTAACTGATTTATTCCTAATGATTCTCCACACTGTTGAATTGGTCTTCAGTTAAGTATGTCTACAACGGTAAAGGACTATGAAGTTTAAATATCTGTCCACATTTTAAAATCTGTAGTTACTGATTTTTATTTTTTTCACAGAATGGTCTGAAAGTGTCCATTCTTTTAAAGTGCATTGTTTAGAAAGTGTGAACATCCAGTTGGGGTTTTTTTGTCATTATGGTGTAAGCAAATACTTGAGACTAGATTTACGTTCTGTTTTAGCAAGACATTTTCAAAGTATGAGAATGTAAAAAGCCTAAGAAATTGCAAAATTGTGTGGCCTTATGTGCCAGCTCGTTGGCTTATTCAGAATTCCACATTTTCCTTTCTTTGACAGGTACCACAGATCGAAAGCATGAAATCAAAAAGGTACCTCCTGAAAGGCCAGAATGTCTTCCTAATCGAACAGAAGAAAAAGGTATGAAATGTGCTTTCCTGCCTGCTCTCTGCAGAGAGACAGGGGAAACGGAACCGATGCACATCCTCATTTCCCAGTCCCTGTTTTCATTAAGTATATTGTTTGGATGTTTATTTCCCACTTTGATAGACCTGTGATGATACGCATTTTGGAAAGGATCTCATTGTTTTGGGGCTAAATTCAGGATATTCAGTTGTACCAATCCAGAGCTGTTAAGTACTTGCAGCCTCAACTGAAGTCAAAGGGAGATATGCTCTCGATACATAAAATGCTGTCTAAAGCTCTGTGCTCAGTAAAACCCAGGTCCTTGATCAAGTAAGGTACCTAGCACATGCTTTTTTTCTTAGTATCTATATGCCTTGATTCTCTAGTTAAAAGCAAGGTTGGTGGTTTTCTTGCATCACAGAGGTGTTTTGTGAAGATATAGTCATTAATGCTTATGAATCACTCCATTATCATAGTCACAAAAGTAATAGGCAAGCCTGTGAAGAAATGAAAAAATTCTGTCTTCAAAGCCAGGTTTGAACATTTCAAGAAATGGGGCACAGTACCACGCAGAGCAGTGACAAGCAGATGAAACTTTTAATGGTTTCATTGTGTTCATTGTGCGTTTGGAATAGTTTGGGGAAAATAGTTCTATTGATTCTGTCATTGAAGATAGTGTTAAGTTTCATATGTTTAAGTGAACTGTAAGATTGTACAGACAAGTTTGTTTATGGGATTTCTTAACTCTTAAGTATTTGAACTTGCAGTCTTTTAAGAGGCACATGTATGCACATGACTAAATGTATAATATGCAGTTACAATTTAGTGCCAGAACATTCAGACTTTGCACCAAGATCTGTTTCTGGATATATGTCTTAGTGATCTGACAGGTGTTTTAGCACTTTCATCTACGTATGTTTACTTTTGGTTATGTGCATTACTTCTCATAGTTACCTTATCAATAAACCCCTTTGCTTTCCATTTTTGGATTTACAAAGCCAACTGTGAAAATGGTGGAGGAGGTTTAAATATCCTACTGTCCCAGGGTATAAATATCTGTAACTTTTCTAAATGTTAAAAAGAGGCCATAGGAGTCACGCCGGCATTTCTGGAGTACCAGGGAGTGGCAGGAATTATTCGGTGTGGCGTGGCAGCAGGGGTGGCACAGGAACGTTCTTTACACTCTGTGCCTAGCCTGTCCCTCATACATTGTTTAGATTCTTTGACACTGACGCAGTATAAATTGTCATAGGAGTAAGCATGTAAAAATTACACAATACATTGGAAAAGCTTCAATGTTACAGAGGACCCAACGACTACATCGGCTGAAAGTGTACTGAAAAAGGGTATATGCTTGTGAACAACAGTCACTTACTGGACTATTCCCTATCTAACGCGGATTGTGTTTCTGGTGATTTAGTCCATGATCCTCTCAGACTGAAACCTAGAACCCATGAAGCAATACCCTGTAACATTCCCAATACCTCTTACGTGAGAACAGAGGTGTAATATTCAGATGTATCATCAACAGTCTTGTCAAGGGAAGTGGGGTGTTGACATAGTAGGATACAGAGAGTGAAACTTGGTCCCCTTGAGAGTTTTGTCCTTTCTTTAAGAAGAATCAGGTTTCCTATGGTGTGGCAAACATGTTTACATGTTTGTTTTGTATTATGAATTTAGAGCATATTATTTACAAGAGTTATTAATGTGTATAGTGCTTTACATACTCACAGGCATTGCATGTTTGGTGTTGGATGTTAGTATGGTGGCACTTCCTAACTATGCGTAAGCAGTTCTGCAAATGATCCAGTTTTTCATTGGCAAGCTGAAAAAGTCAGCATATAAATCTGTGATTAAACACCTAAATAAAAGGTCTGATTTTTCTGAGGGGTTTACATCCTGCCAAACAGCTAGATTTTAATGCTTGTATTTTGCATTTAACTGTAGTTCACTTGAAACACACTTTTTTCCCCCAGAAAGGTTTTTTTCTCTGTTTGTTGAAGAGATGTTAAGAATATCTAGCATAATTACCTTTGTGACCTTCTAACTGAATATTGTTTATATTAGAATTTTATATAAGCTGTGGTCATGGAAAATTGTTCCATATGGTATGTAATATTTTGCCATTCTTATTTTTTACACTCAGAAATCTGTAAGTTTCTAAAATAAAAAATAGCATTCCCATTCAGACACCGCACACACTTTTTGACCATGAGGAATTACAGGCAGAACAGGCAGGGCAAACAACTGATTTGTGGTAAACATGTAATTTCAAATAAAGAATGATTTAGGACGGAAATGGAAAGGAGATAAGGTTTTTCTTTGTATGCAGTGTATCTACAGTTAAAGATTTCTTGTTTAATTGTAGACTTGTGAGTGCAAATGAATTCCATTTAATAATATCTGTGTTCTTTTTTTCTGGAATTAATTGATTTAAAGAAAGATCAGAGAGAGAGCAAAAACAGTTAGACTTGCAGAAGCCTTCAGTTCCTGCTATACCTCCGAAGAAACCTCGGCCACCCAAAGCAAACTCTGTGAATAAACCTGGTACCTTGCCCCCGAGACGACCAGAAAGACCAGTTGTGCCTATGACTCACACAAGGTATTGTTTTCCCTCTGTCCAGTGCCTTTGGGATTAGTGGAAAAAACACACATTTAAAGAATTTAGATTTTACTGTTAATGTCACAATTTATTTCACGATAAACTGTATTGAAAGAACAAGAAAAAAAAAAAGAAAAGCTTTCTAGTCATCTGGCTGGATCATAACCATCTTCTCAAGAATAACAGTCTTAGACTGTTCATTACAGGTTCGTTTCTACTGACGAACAAACACACTGTTACTGCAACAGCATAGTTTCCACTGCAGAATATGTGGGAAATATCTGCAGCAGTATGTTGCACTGATGTTGACTTTCTCAGTTTACCTCAAATCATGCCAGTTTAGCTGGGGCACTAAGTCAGTGCAAAAGCTAGGATTGTACTGTGGAACAGCGTTAGACAATGCACATTTCATATACTGTCAGCTTCGTTTCAGTTTGTTTTCACTGATCATTTTAGATCAATTTTTAGCAAAATACATGTGTCTTCATAGGTTATTCTTTAAACTGGTGCTACTGCAGAATACTGCTGTCAAGTATTCATGCTGTAATGTTGGTTGTCATTCTATAGTTACATGTGCCCTTTCTCAGGGGTGGTTAGAACCTTTGAGGAACACTGAGAAATTGGACTTGCCAACACAACTCCATTTAATCTCTGCCAGAGCTTGGAAAAGCAGAGGTTGCAGAAATTAAAGGCCTCGCCTGTAGCCCTAATCAAGTCTAGATGGCTATATTAGTCATCAGCATCTGGCTTGTGCACTGTAGACTTCCTTTATGCGTAGTGGATGGAAATAGGTGAAAACCAGTAAAAAGCAGTGGCCTAAAACAGGCAAGCTGCACATCTTGCAGAAATACTAGAATATAGGCATAGAAATAATTTTACTATTGTACCGTTAGAAAAATTAGCTGCCATTGAACTACTGGAGTTCAAGTATACTAATGGTGAATTAAATACCAGAATGGAGTATAGGGTGGAGTGGAATAAAATAGAAATCCTAGACATTGATTCCCCTCATTCCTCCACATATGGTTCATTAAACAAACGCTCTCAGTGTGAAATCTGAGACACATAAAATAAAAAACACAGTACGTGCCTTGTGCTGCCAATTTCGTCTTACTGAAGTGCTTTGGCTGTGTATCTCAGAGAACTTACCCTTCTATCCAGGTGCTACTGCCACAGCTTCTTTTGGATTTCTTGGCTTTGAACGTGCTTCCCCAGTTGTTCCAAAATATGGTCCACACCTGCTGGTCACTTGGGCATGCTTGGAAAAGCAAGTATTTGCTACAGCCTTTAGCTTTAGCTAAGTGATGGCCTCTTGGCAAGACCAATACATACCCTAGCATTCAGTTCACTGGCTAGGCATGCCACGAGGTAGCTTTTCTTTTGTTCTGTCTTTGCCTGGAAGATTTTAAATGTCTTATAAATGTTTCAAGCAGAGTTGTGGAGGGGTATTTTATTACTCTTCTGTTTTCCTTTTTTCTAAGTACAAAATTGTATAAAGAAACCATGCATTTTTAAAGATATTTCAGTTTTCATGTTAGCAAAGGGAAAAAGCAGATCTAAACAGTAACCCTGTTAGCAGAGTTTGGACAATTAAGAAGCTATGTCTAGCACAGAAAAAAAAATGCTTCGTTCTTGTTATCTAATACCATTATATTTGGAAGAATTTTACTTGTAACAGTAGTCAGATTAGAAGAAAACATGATTTTTCAGGTGATGATGATGATGCATAGTGATGATCCCAGTGCTAGCAATTTCCCTATGAATTACTTTATCAGCTAATTCAAATTAATGGATTTATCTCATATAGCTGTTCTGCCTGGTAAGCTCTAACTTATAAGGGTGTCTTATAGGAAGAGGGCAGAAAGTTCACGTAATGAAATAATCCATGGAATACACTTTGAATTACTTGAATAATTAACAAATGTGAAACTTCAAATGGAAGCAGTCACTTCAATAAAGGTGTTTTGGTTTTAAATCAGTTCAGTTTAATAAGATAGTAAATATTTTTAGGATCTGCTGGTATCCATTTCCAGAATCTAAGAAACCTAAGGCAATTAGAAAAAAAATTGAACCAGCAGAACTTTCACTGACCTGGCATGGTTTAACCCCAGCTGGCAGCTCAGCCCCACACAGCTGCTCGCTCACTCCCCCGCAGTGGGATGGGGGTGGGAATTGCAAGGGCAGAAGTGCAAAAACCTGTGGGTTGAGGTAAAGACAGTTAAACAGGTAAAGCAAATGCTGTGCATGCAGGCAAAGTAAAATAAGGAACTAATTCACTATTTCCCATGGGCAGGCAGGTGTTCAGCCATCCCCAGGAAAGCAGGGCTCCATCACATGTAACAGTGACTTGGGAAGACAAACACCATTACTTTGAATGTCCCCCTCTTCTTTCTTCTTCCCCCTGCTTTTATTGCTAAGCATGACACTATCTGGCATGGAATATCCCTTTGGTCAGTTGGGGTCAGCTGTCCTGCCAGTGTCCCCTCCAGCTTCTTGTGCACCCCCAGACTGCTCACTGTTGGGGTGGGGTGAGAAGCAGAGAAGGCCTTGAGGCTGTGTGCACACCCCTGAGCAACAGCTAAAACATCTGGCTGTTATCAACACTGCTTTCAGCATAAATCCAAAATGTAGCCCCATGCAGGCTGCTATGAAGAAAATTAACTCTATCGCAGCCAAAACCAGTGCATGACCCCAGGGGGAAAAAATGCTGTAGTTATAAAGTGAGTCCCATGAGATTTCCATGGCTGCTGCTGAGCAGAAGAGGTTTTTTTCCTGTTCCAAGTGGCTTGCATCTCATGCATCTCACTGACTTTTTGTGGCGATGATTGTTTTTCCACTTAAATATAATCCTCCTTCCTTGGAGGCAGGTTAGGGCTTCAAGGGCAATAGGAGAGACAAAAACCATGTGGGACTCAGAATACCTGTCAATTGGCTCCAAAGGCTTCACAGCTTATTTCAACATACCTGTGATCGTACAATTTATTGATGAGTCAATTCTCTGGAGTAGGCAAGCCATAAAGACCTACAGCAAGTGCAGTTTTACAGTCGGTCTAAACCAGTCTGCGTCCATGCTGCTGCTAACAGGGGCAGGTTCCCTCTTGTGGCAGCCCGCTCCCGCAGCCTCCCTTATGTTAGCACCAGCAATTGCGCAGCCGTTGGGCCATATGGGTCAGGGAGTTTTTCCAGATGGCAATTAATCAGTTTGCAGGGGGATTTCTGTTAGTGTGGGGTTTCTTTCAGGCCAGTCATGTGTCTGATCAAGCTGACAGCCTATCTGCACGGGCACGAGCGGAGGGAGGGAGACGCTGTGACCAAGAAGGGGTGGCTCCACTCCTTTCGCAACAATATGGAGGTAGATTGGCATAGTAAGCCTGGTGATTCTTTCAACAACAGAGTGGGGTTGATGTCGTGTGTCTTGGTATCTTTGTAGTCATATGGTAAATGTTGTGACTTTCAGCCCTAAATCACACCAGCCTAAGAATCTCCTCCAAAACCATACTCACACGTTTCCTAGAGTGCTTCCGACTCACATGGTGCTCTCAGTTTGCTGGGAAATAAATGTGTGCAAAACAGAGTATGCAGTCAGATGCTCATTGCCCTGTCAGCCAAGACACTATGTTGCTTCTTACAGGTGTACAAATATATAAGCAATTGTTTTTAAAAAAGTTAAAGACCAAAAGATAAGAAAACTAACTGATCAGGTAGATCACTTGGAGAATACTCTTATTTATCATCTCGCCAATTAATACTGTTTTGGGGAATGTGTTACATTTCTTCTGTTTCCTTCCTGGTGCAGACTGCCTGCCATATTGATAGCTGTGTAGGACTAGTTTGGTTTTCAGGTCATAAACCTGTTTTCTGTCTTTTTTAGTTCACCGAATACTTGTCACCCTACCACAGTGTTTAAATGGATATATGTTCACTTAATCTATGACTTCCTCCAGTGCTTAACACAAATTTTCAGACCCTTCATCTATCACAGCCTTCCTGAAGTCTGAAATAGGATTTCCAGCCAGTTTGTGTTTTACTGATAAACCGCTGCCATGAGTTGAGGTTCAAGCCATCTGTCATCAGCTTATGGCATCACAAGCAGACACAAATGAAAAAATCAACAAGAATCAGAAACTTACTATGTATTTTACTGTCAATGGGTAATTATTGCTGTTCATAGAAATGCACCTCTGCCTGGGTTGTTTCAGGGACAGATCTGTATTTTTACCCGTCATTTGGGTACCTTACATACATCATAATTGTTACGTTGTGGAATAACGCTGGGAATAGTCATTGTGAAAAAACTGTGATGTTTGTTAGGTGACCTGATAATGATAGCAAGTACAATTTATTGCATTAATTGAACAGTTGTTATCACAGTAAATGTCACAGGGATTTATTTGTGTGACCTGTGCAATGCTGGGCTCCTCGCCTGCCACCGGCCCTTTTTTAATTTATTGTTTCAATAGTCAGGTTGTTTTAATAAACTTAAGTAGTTGTGGGATAGAAAGTTCTACACAGAAAGAATAATCATGTTGCTTATGTTTGATCTCCTGTTTGATTTGAAAATAGTTCCTCTGTATCACAACTCTTGACACTTGCCTATTCCCAAGACGATTCAGACAGAGCAGGTGATCTTAGTTCTTTGGACCTGCAGAAACAATATTCATAGTCTAATCTCATAAGCGGCATGCAAAAACATGATGAAGGACCTGCATTTATCAGTAAAAGCTAGGAACAGCTGAAATGCATAATGCTAGCTTGAGGTTCTCTCCCTTTCTGCAGTATTCTAGACAGTCCGTTGCTATAGTTTATGCGAGGCAATTAATTAGAAAAAATTACAAATAAGATGTTGAAGAATGTCCCTTTGCCCTTAGGTTTCCTTCGTGTTGAGATGCTGTGAACATCTGAAGAATTACTCAGGACACTACGGTGTCTAAAATAGGCTTTTTTGACAGGTGTTAAGGAGAAATGAGATAAGGTTAATCCATACAGCATGTCTACTTACTGGAGATTGCTCTCTCTGACACATTGCTGTTACTCTGGTGCTACAAAGGAAACATATTTCACTCTCTCATTATTAATTGCAAGTTAACTATCTATTTTCTGTAACCCACACAAAAAATCCCAATAAAATATCTCCTCTTCTTGATCCAAATGCAGGAGTGATAGTCCAAAAGTGGAATTAGTGGGCAGTACGGTATCCGGCACTCTAGAGAAAGACTCCTCTGAAAGAAGCAATGACATCGGTAAGTTACAGTGCTTTTTATGGTTTGCCTAAGAAGTTTATGGTGTAAAACTCTGCTTTTTAGTGACTTTGTTATGATCCAAAAAGCAGATTGAGGATTTGGCAATGAACGCGAGTGCATTTATATAAAATTTTAACTGCAGGATTAACTGCTTTACTTAAAAATAGTTTTGTTGGGGGGTTCTGTTTAAAAAAAAAAAAAATATTTTAAAAAGGAAGTATGGAATGGTGAGCTATTTTGAATAGGAGGGCTTTTGTTATTTCTCTTAAAATTTCTCTGAAACAAACGAGAAGGCCAAGGATAATAAGTCACACTTGTTTAACAGATGTAACATTAGTGCTGCCATATTTTTAATGCTGCAAAAGATTGTGGGTTTGGTGCAGTTAGTAATCTTTACACTTTCCAATACAAAGGAATAGAGAACAAATTGAGGCCAATTTGAATAAATTTTACTGCAGACAACAATTAAAAGCAGTCTAAATTTCTCTTGGAAATAATAATTTGTGTTCCTGCAACACGAACAGTTTAATTGGGGAAATCACCTGGAAAGGAGTAACGGTAGGTTATTTTTCTGTCTTCTCTCACCCTCCTTCCTTCTCAAGTTGGCAGCGCAGGAGAGATGTTTGCTGGGGTGGGTGCTGCAGTAAGTGGCACTTGGAAAGCAAGGTGCTCTGACTCTTGTCCCAGGGCTGTAAGCAAAAGCCGCGACAGCCATCTTCTACCTCTACTTAGAAATACGCCGGCGGCAGCTGCTGCCGTCGCTCTCCTCCACAGTGGCAGCTGTGCCACGAGAGACCCGTTTTTGTAAAAGGCAGAACCAGGGTACCCTGAATGTGTAACGTAAGCATTACTACCTTCTGCTGGCGGCATTAAATGTTATTTCGGCCTGGTGGTTTCTACCCAGCCTGCTTTATTAGTGAAACATTTCTGTAAAATAGTATAATTTCAACAGCCAAACTTACCTTTTCTTTGGACTTGAAAGCAGAGCTTTAAGTTATAGATGCATTTTAATTGCAATGTAACAATAAAATGCTCAATTGATTTCACATAGGTTTATGAGCTTTTCAGCATCCATATGTCTGCTTTTTTTTAACCTTCTGCTGTTGCTATGGTTTATGACAGTAACATTCTTCTGGAGAAGCAAGTAGTATGTTTTCTCCAGATTTTCATTTGGGATAAACATGGGAAGTTAGAAGCTTGTAATAAATTGCATGAACATTTTTATTGTAGAAATTAATATAAAAGAATGGTATGGAAATGCAGTCAAACTCTACCATTTAGTGTTTGTTACTCACATTTACGAATTTGCTTCAAAGCATGTAGACTTTTGCTTACTTGAAAGAGAAAACTATGACTGCCAATATCATATAATGGCCTGACGGAAGTAAACTTTTTTAATCCTTGTGCTTCTTTCCTTGGAATCACTATCAGGATAAAAGCTTAGACTGTTTTGTATTTTTCTGTGGGTTTTTTTTTAACAACCCACAGAAAGGGTAAAAGGCTAGGTGAGAAATTCGATTTTTAATAATTTTTGTTCATTTCCAGAACTTAGGTGAGGGGGTTTTGTGGTTTTGTTTGTTTGGGGTTTTTTTAATGGAGAATAGGAGCTACTAAGAGTCCATAAACCAAACCACATACATACACAACATGTTGCAAAGGGTTTAGCTGATGACCTCCTGTTACCGCTAACAAGGGGAACCTATTGAGCCCAAGGATAAAATGGTGTGAATACTTAGATAAGTATAACTTGATAGGGTCAACCCAGAATGGCATTTACAAGGGCAAATCATGTCATTCGAGCCTGTTAGACAACTCGTTAAAAGAAAAAAAAGAAAGAAATTATTATTTTGGAATGAAAGTGGTCCCAAAGACCATAACTGATAGGAATTTTCAGGAGGCTTTTGAGAGCTCATGTAAAATATTGTTAAATAAATAAACAGCCTTTTAAGACAGGGTGGAGCAATAAATTAAAAGTTAATAAGCCAAAACAATTGACAGTGGATTAATGTCTTTTACTATGAGGAGAGGTTTGGAGTTCAGGACTGTTAATGGGGCAGTGTAATTGGAAAGATTTATAATAAATGTTAGATTTTTTATTTATTTTCAAAGAGAACAATAGGTTGGAGAAATCTTGTGGCTAAATGAGTTATTAGTAAAAATGATGGATGAGCAAGTGGAGTTGTCCCAGTGTATTCCAAAACACTGATGGATCAGGCAGTGTGAGTCCAGATAATATTTAACTGTGATATGTGTTACCGGTGTTGCCCCAGTCTCATGTATTCTGTGGGGAGAGCAGCCTCTGCTTCCCCGAGGTTTGTCCTTCCAGTCAGAAGGGATCTGATTCAATCGAGTCATTTGATGTCTTCTCAGTAATCCAAATTCACACCACCAAGTAGAGTGGAGCTATGTGATAGGCAAGCTGGGGCTTAGCGGTAGCCTTTGTAGAAAATGGAAGTTAAATGGCCTTTGCAGCAGCTCGGGTGTATGACAGTTCTGGTTACTGGGCTCCTCTTTATTCCGCCAGTAGCCCCGATGCCATTCCCGGGCACGTGGAGCTCTTGGAGAGGATGGAGGGAAAAGCAGCAGTCAGTTGCAAGTTGCCTCACCCGCTTATGCTTATGCTAAATACTGATGGCGAATCGTGGGCTGAGAATGAATAACTACAACACTCTACTGGCTTTTTTGCTCGAGCAACGTTGAGTTGGATACTGGCTGGCACTTTCTCAGTCCTGCAGCCAGTCTAAAGCTCTTGTTCTTTCATTCGAAGCAGAGAGATGTACAAAAGCACTGGCGAGACAGTTTTGTTTATAAAAGCAAACCATACTACGGTGGATGAGAGCAGTTTTCCATTCTGTGAAACCTTTTTAAGGATTTCTAAGTTGGTTCCTTTCCTTTATCATGATGGGGCAAAACCTTTATAATGAGGGAGGAGAAGATACAGGGTCCTTCCATGTGCCACCTCCCAAAAACCAAACAAGTGATCAGCAACCACAAAATCAGTAATTCCATCAACAATTGAGAAGCAATATGCGGAGGGGAATTGGGGAATCCAGGTTCAAAACTTGGATTCTGTCTAGGTCTCCTATTCTACTAGATCAGTGTGTTAACCATTGCTTGTTTCAGAAAAGGCATTTTCCTGCTAATTTTCTAAGTAATAGTCTACCAGTGGATCAGTGTTCTCTAACCAGAAAACTACACACTTTAAAAAACACCTTTAAAAACATTCACTCAACTTTCCTGATCAGGAAAGTCACAAATGCTTGAGCAAGGCTGAGGTGATGTGTAATACTGTGCGTAACATTGGCAGTTGCATATATAAAAAGTTATTTTTATGTAGATGTTAGCGCATGGCTTGATTTCACTAGCATGTTCTGCAGAGTTGTGACTTGACATTTAAATTTCTTGATGATAATACAGCGCTGATTACAATTTTGCAATCTGTACTGACAAGAGCAAGTCGTGTTCAGCAACATCGCTGCTGATTGTAAATAAAATGGCAGCTATTTCTACTGTTGTTCATGTCTTTGCTTCTTTCCACAATCCTTACCAAAAAAAATTGGAGAACTAACCTTCAGAATATATTATTCAAGAGGAACCGTTCCCCATTCCTCCTCACTTCTTTTGTTTTCTTTCTCCCTGTTTTCAGTGATGCCTTTACTTTCCTTTCCACACATCTTTCATCCAGCTTTTCCTATTTACATCTCTTTGCCATGGGTAACTCTTCTTCATTTCATGAGGGTAAGCCTTTTTTTTTCCCATTTCTTTTCTGTCCTGTCTTTGCTTTAGTCGACAATGCATAACAAACAAATACAAAAAGAAGTGTTTGTAGAACACCTAATGTGTACATGGCTATTACAGATCGGTTTTTTAATTAAAATTTGAAATTGAGTGTACTGTGACAGAAAATCTTGCACCATAGCATTGAAACGAGAAATCATTATAGTTTATTTTATTGCACCACAAGACATTTTAGTGACGTAAGTGACCTGTACAGTTTGCACACGCTGTTTGTCAATGCAGTGGTTTCATTAACCTGGTCTTACAGACAGATGGTGTCATTGCAAAGTTTAATGCATATATTTCATTGTGTAACACATTACAAACCAAAAAATATTTTGTGACGTGCTAGGGTGGTTCTCTAGGCTGAAAGAGGTAAAAAAACCCAACAAAACAAACCAAAATGCAACAAAAATTTGAAGAGCGCTCACTGGCTCTCAATGGAAAGTGCACGGTCATGTCACCCAAGACTGTCTCCAGTATTGCTGTGGTTAAATCACAGTAGTTAGATCTGTTGTAAAGTCTCACGTACCAACAACTGTTCTGGATTGACAGTGGCTTTTTGAGCTTAGTTTAAAATGCTTCTAAAGCAACATAAGCTACACTGAAAGTAAGCCCTGTTCTACCAGCAGAAGAGTAGTCCTTATGTAGAATTACATTGGTTTCAACAGCTTAAATTTGTGCTTTATTGCATAACTTGACTTTTTTGAGGTTACGTGTTTCTTTTTAATTTCACAAAGAATTGTTATATCTGAGGGCCAGTGCAATGACAGAAACATCTAGCGTATATAATAGCTTACTGGATCAAAACCAAATGCTTCCAGAAAATTACTAAATTATTCTAATTAAGAATTGATATTGAGTTATTTCTGCAAGTCAGGATTAATCCTAAGTCTTTTAACTATATATATATATATGTATGTATGTATGTATGTATATATACACACACACTTTGGAATCCTGCAATCCTGAAACAAGTCTTGTCTATCCAAACTAGGCTTGCTTTGAAATCATCTAACACTTAAAATCATACGGATTTAAGGTAAGTGATTTAAAGAATAAACCACAAAAATAAAAATCGTATTTCTACTGTGGAAATGTTCAGTTGATCCACAGAAGAAGCAGTTTCTGTGTTTTGCAAAAAGACTGAGCTGCACAGGCGCTTCCCACACAGCCAAGCAGACACATCTTTCCAGTATTTTTTTCCTGGCTCTTTACATGTT